AAAAGGAAGGTTTATCCAGGTATTGTTTTGTTTTTTTTTTTTTTTTTTTCAGGTGTAGCCTGAACATTCTTTTGCTGTGTTAAAATTAGCAGTTCTGGGTAGGGAGCAAATGCAGATCCTGCTTCTGGTTTCAGATTGCTGATTGCATGGTTTTAGAGTTTAGGAATTAAAAAGGGGGGAAGTGTGTAGAATGCTGAGGCTTCCATTTCCCAAAATTCATGTGGCTTTAGTGCAGTTGTGAGAGTGCCACAGCAGTGCTGTACTCTCCCTGCACCCTTCAGTCGGTAGAATCTGTTATTTGTTTTCCTGGTCTCTCCAGCTAGCACAAGTAACTAACCTGGTTTCTTTTGAATAGAGTGGTTTGCGAGGGCTGAGGTTTTTACCATCCTTTTCCCTCTCTTTAAGCCAGCCTCCTGTATGTAGAGCAGGAGACCTCTGCAGAGAGGAATGAACTGGAGTGGTGCTTTGTCCTATGCTGATGTTGTTCCAGTGATGCGTATGAAGGAAGCGATTTGAGCTGAGAAGAGTGTTCACAGCTCAAAGTACTTGTGGTTCTTTCTCTTGAGCAACTGAACAAAAGAAAGAAAGATCTGGAGGAGGGAATTGATGCTTCTGCTGTTTCAGTAATTCTTCTCTCAAATCCAGTGGCTTCATCTGCCCAAAGTTAGAGTGCAGCTGGGCACAGTGAATTAATGTCAGTTTTACCATTGCGTAGCTGGAATGCAAGAGGGATTTTTTTAATGAAGAACAGAAGAATGACATGGGATGGGTAGCTGAAGCCATTGGTCCTAGTCTTGCCACATGCATTTCTAAAGACTCAAAGCAAGAGAGTAGTGAGGGTCTGGGAACAGAAGGTAGAACTGCTCAGTTCTTCTCTGTGCTATTAATGGTTTTGGATCTGAAACTTCCAGATGTAAATGGAAACTTCTTTTGTATCTGTATTTTGTACCTATAAAGGCAAGGTCTTGCATTTAGTGTGCTTGATGGTCTTTCAATATTTGCATATCCTGCTTTTACGTAGCTTTAATGTTGCCTAATGGTTTGCATATATGCTACCCTCCAAATAACTTTTGGTGGTTTTGACTTCCTTGTTATCCATCTTATCCTTTATCTTTTCTTGCAGTTGAGTACCTGTGACCGAACAGTCTTCTCTTTTGAATTATTTGGGAGGAACATTTGAGAGTCTGCTTTAAGACATCAAAACTTGTGAGTTCTGTGAGTTTCTGCTTCTGCCATCAGCTTGCTTCTGTGCCTTTCAATTAGTAAATCGTTCCTGTTTTGTAAATAGCTGAGTACAGTTTGTTAAGGTGTTAGAAATTCAAGTTCTTCCCTATCCTATTTTGATCCTTAAGATTCCATAGCACTTTTTATATGATTTGTGATTGGTTTGTAATATTAATATTTTCTCCTCTTCATAACCAGGCATTATGCATTAGTTGCTCTTCCCAGATATGTCTGTATCGGTGGTGTTCTGTGTAAGAATGCATCTGTAAAACACATTATGATTAAAGTTATAAACTGCTCTGTACCACCTGTTTGCAGGGAACAAAGAGCAGATGGGAAGTCCGAAAGTGTACTAGTGCCTTAAGAGACTGCAAAGGGAAGTATAGCATGTAGTTTGCACAATAACCCAGGCTGCAAGTCTTGCCAAAGCTGAAATAAAGTGCTGAAAATTCTGTAATGCCTCTCTCGCCTTTGCTTTCATTACTGTCCAATCCTTGGGTTAACGCTTATGGCCGTATCACTTTATGATCTTACCTGAAGCCTGAATAAGTTTGATACTCAGAAAGTCTTTATAATAATGGTTTGTTTGGGTTTTTAATTTGTTTTGGTTGTTTTGTTTTTTTCTAAGTAGAGTAAAAAAATTGGTTGTCATTTAATTGTAGAGCCAGTCTGGCAATGAGCTCTAGGGGCGGGTTGGTTTACAAGCAGTTTGTTCAGTACTGAGCCTTACTTTCTTCAGTAGATGTAGCATCTCACTTCTGAAACAGTGTTCATAAAAGTAGTTTAAAATAAAAAGGTGTTGCATTTATTTGTAAAAATAATGGAAAATACAGTTGGAAAGGTTATGAGGAGGTTCTCTAGTCCACTTAATGATGAATGACAATTTCTGATATGTGTAACTGTTCTAAAACTTTCAGGAAGGAAAGGCCTCAACTCTCTTGCTAATTTATCTGGTGCTTAAATCACCTTATGAATAGACATAAGGAAAAGCTTATTATTTAAAAAAATTCTTACAGTTTTCCTTATTGTTTACTCTCAGAAGAGTTCAGGTCTTCTTCATTGCTACCTGTCTGTCTTCATTATTCTCTCTGGTCTTCTGAGACTAAGAAGACTCAATTTCTTTGGCTTTTTCTCAGAAGCCTCTTTTCTAGGGTTTCTCTGTTCTCAGTGCTTTTGTCTGGAATCTGTTCACTTGTTTGTTTCTTAGATATTGTACTCCCCTGGGGGCTTTCCCAGAGCACAGAACTTTTTCAGCTAGCACAGGTACTGGTTTTGCCTATGCATCCCTGCATGGTGTTTGCCATTTTCATGGCACAGTCAGCTTATATTCTGGTCTGGTAGGTCTGCTGGATCCTTCTCTGCAGTCTAGCTGCCAAAGTGATCAGCTCTTTTAAATGAAGTGTGATATATTTATTGAGTGATGGGTGGAAAGAGTTGCATTTTAAACAGTATGAAAAGCCAGATTTCAGGAGACCAAAGGGGGTGTGTTATTCATTAGGCAGTTCATTCATAGCTCAATAATTGTAGGACTCCATGTGCTAAAGTCCAGCATGCTTCGACCTCAGGGTGACTGTTACACAAATGTCTTGAAAGGGTGATGAGAAGATAGATCACTTTTCAGAATGAGCAGTGGAAAAGTTCCAGATCGAAGCATGAAAGAGTTACATTCTTTGCCAAGATGAGCCTCGTTGATGCAATGGGTTGTTAAATTATGTTTTTAAGCAGTACAATATACTGAAAAGAGCAAATGAATTCTGGACTTCATCTGCATGCGTAAACAGAATAGAATGAGGTAATCTGGGAGAAGATGGCTGTAGATGCATAGCTTCACAACAGTTATCTCTACTTTGGAATAATAAATTCTCTGATAAAGTAATCCTTCTGTTTTAGAAGTAAAAGGATTATTCAGGCCACTGTGTGGGAAACTGTTGTGCACTAAGTCATTGCACAGCCATTGTGGATGGGCTCTCTACTGACCATTCCTCCACTGTCTGCTGTGACTATGTATTGATTTCAGTGTGAAATAAATTGAGATCTTCCATTTTCTCAGGAACTAAATTCCCCAAAGACAATTAACAATTTAAGAGTTAGCCAGGTTTTATGCTGTGATACACACATATGCATACATATCTGTATCTATATCTGTATCTATATGTTAGGTTTTCTTTTTCCCTCCCCTCCTTTTGTCTTCAGGGCCAGAAAGCCAGGAAGGTCTTCATGGACAATATTAGGCTGACTCTTCACTCGTTTTTTCCCCTGTCCTTCTGTGTAGTGACTCTGTATATCGGGCAGCCTCGTTAGCAGCATAATTCCTAGAGTGTTAAAATCCAGAGCATAGCTTGTGAGGAAAGGATTGTTCACTGGTTGGCCTTGAGAGTTTAACTGGGTCTAACTTTGATCTTTATTTGAATCAGTTTGAGTCAGCACTTAACCACATTCCTCTTTGGTTTATTTTTGGGAGAAGTTGTCATTTTTGTATAAGGTAGAAAAGGCAGTTGGGCTGTGAACTTTGCAAATGGTTTTCTAAAGCATGAGACTACCAAGTTAGCCAAGTTGTGTATATTTAGGTCTGTTATTGCCATGCAGTGGTGTGCCAAGATGTGATATGAACAATGGGGAGAATGGTTGAAACTAGAACATCTAGTGTCTCGCACCACAAGACACTGCCTATGTCCAGCAAGCTGTTCTTTTCAAAGCAACAGGCTTTGAGAATGAGGCTATATTTTTGTGGGTATTTTTATTGCCTAACATACTTCCCCCTCTCCCCAGCCAGTGTGATTTCTCTTAGTCTTTTTATTCATATTAAAGCTATGGTTAATTACAGCTTCTGTATTACTATAAGACTGTAGAATTAATATTCCAAATACAGGTTGCCCTTCCCAGATAGTACAGAGTGAAGACTTAACGTTTGTACAGAGGGGTCAAACATGCAACAAGGCAGAATGGAGTGTGGCTTCTTAGGGGGAAAAGAAAAAGGGAGCTGCTTCATCAGTAGTGATGCTATGAGAGATTGTTCAACAAAGAAATTGGTGGGCAGAGTGTAACAAGTGGGTAGGAAGGGAGAAAGAGAGGAAGTCTGTGATGAAATCACAGTGATTTCCACTTTGGGAAAAGGCAATGGTGAGCATTCTTACACTCTGTAATGAAGTAACAATTGGGGGAGGAAAGTCTCATTAACAAACTCATTGAAACTTTGGTAAGCAGCAAAAATGGTAACAGACTTTGAGAGCTGTAAAAGCTTTGAGTAGGATGTACTTAGTAGTTTAGGGATTCTTTTTCTTTCAGTATAATTTTTTCTTCCCAAATCACAAAAGAGGTAAACAGTCTTTTTTAAATATTTGAGCTTCACCATAAACCAGGCTCATGTTAGCTGGCAACTACTGTGTGGCCCGCCATACTGTCTGACTTTTCAGGAGGAGAGGGATCTGAAGGGTTCTTGGAGAATCTGACAAACTGCCTGATAGCTTAGTATGCTAACAGAGATGCCCTGTGTCCCTGTTTTAGCATTTTTATTTTATAAAGGAAGAATTGTTGGTGGGAAAAAGTGTAAAAACTACCCTGTGAAAAGCAAGATGGAAGAAAGCAATGCCAACAATGAAATCAAGATTAACATTTAATACTGTCAGAGACAGCAGTCAATAAATTTTCTGCTGATAAAGGTGCATTTTAAGCTAGTTATCTTCTTGTTTTCTGAGTAGAGCCTAGTTAGTTGTCACTTGCCCTCAATAAAGAATGTCTTTTGTTATAACCCTCTCTCTGTTAATGTTTTAGATACAATGTCTGCTCCAAGTGGCATCACTGTCCCATCTGCACCACCTTCTTATGAGGAAACAGTAGGAATAAATGTGGGCTATCCTCACCCCTATCCCCTTCCAGAACCTAGCCAGAAACCAGATGGGAAGGGAATGAACCCTCCTGTGTGCGTGGGACAGCCTGTACTAGTGAGTAACCCTGGTAAGCCTCAAAAACTCTACTGTACTTCACGTTAAGGAGCTGTTAGGTGGCTGTGTATTAGGTGTTGTGCAGAAGATGAAAGATTGTCGTTCATGGGTGCCCCCACTTTCCAAAAAATATTTTTGAAGGGAGTAAGGTGAATCAATTCTTGTGAATCCTTCAGTGTGTACTAATATTAACAACATTGTTTGGCTTTCTGCAATTTTCAGTACAGTCTTATTCAGAAGGCAGTGTGTTTCTGCATTAGGAAGTACCATGATGATTTCTTTGTTATTGTGCATTTCATTGCTCTGAGCCTCAAATACTTGAGCACTTCCTCGAGCTCAGAGGAAGCTGATTGTCTTTTTTTTTTTTTTGTATTGACCCATTGAGTAAAGAGTGTATTTCTCTGCCCAGTTACAGTTCAGTATGTGCAGCACCCAGTGGTATTTCATGACCGCCCTGTTCAGATGTGCTGCCCTTCCTGCAACCAGATGATAGTGACACGTCTCTCGTACGACTCGGGGGCTTTGACTTGGCTGTCATGTGGTGGCCTCTTCCTGCTGGGGTAGGTTGATTCAAATTTGCACTTTATTTTTCTCTTCTTACATGACCTTTTTTAGCTTTAAGGAATAAAGAAGCTCTCAGCTTTGTTGCTTTCTAATTCTGTCTGGGACCTGACCCCTTATGGTTTGAATAGTCTGCATGTGCTTTTAAGTCCAATAGGACCTTAAAGCAGCTCTAGAACACTAGAGTGATGGACTCCATAGCCATGTGTGTTCTTCCTAAAGGTCCATGGCACCAGTTTTACTGATAGCTTTTGCAGGAAATATTTCTTGTGTATGTAACAAGTGGTAAAATGGATTTTTTGGTGTTTTTTTTTTTTTTTTGTCTGCAGATGTGTAGCCGGCTGCTGCTTAATTCCCTTCTGCATCGATGCCCTGAAGGACGTGGATCACACCTGTCCAAAATGCAATGCTCTTATTGGTTCTTACAAGCGTTTATAGGCAGTGTTTAAACATTGATAATGGATTGATGAAGTTGGTTAGCACCTCTGCAAATCCTTTCTGAAGCTTCATGGAGACTTCTGGTGGTTTCTGTGCATCCTGTCACTGGAAACCAATCAAAAGTAATGCTTATTGCTAGATTGTTTGGATAAGAACTTGCTTGAAGGGACTCCAAAGTCTGTAAATAGTATATGTAATCTTTATGGGCCATGTAGTCCAGCACCAGTTGATAACAACTAAATGTTTTCCCTTTCTGCTTTATGCAAAACGGGTCAGTGATATTCTTCAGTTAATCTTGTCTCAGTCAGGTTGCACGCTGGTGTGCTTCCTTACACCAAGTACAGACCAAGAGGAGAACACCTATGGAGACCTAGAGAGTTTCATGCTTGACGTTGGCGCTTTTGCAACGGCACTGTTTACAGACTGGCAGGGAGCTGCTTGCTCCTGAGAGAGGTGCCTTTCTTGGACGAAAGAAGTGATTTGTGGCATCTTTTCCTGAGCACTAAAATTCACTTTAAAACTTTGTTAGTTGAAAGAGAATCAAACCTAAAGGCTTCTTCTGCCTTGAAGGCTGCTTTACCAAGTGGATAACTGAGGTTACTGTGCATCAATGGTGATTCAATCTAGTACCTGAATTTCCTTGCCAGTTTCAAGTCGAGTCCTATCTGTACAGTAAAGATGCTCATGCAGGACTCTTTAATAGGTAGGTATTTGTTTAGTTTTTTTGTTGTTGTTTGGTTAAGGTTTTTTACTGCTGATGCATAAGTCTGTGAAGTGTTCGCACTCCAGTGGAATGCCAATAGAATCTTGCTTTTAGCACTGGAAAACTTCCTTGTACATTTACATAAATCAACTCATAGATCATAAACAAACCTTAGCCTTATCTTAAGGTTTGAATTCCACCTGCAAAACACAGATAGAGGACCTGAGCTTTTAATTGTTGATCTCTTTCTCAATTACTCTTTCCTCAGTAAGAAGGAATGCGTTTGTTAAGGAGTTTTCTCTGATGATTATTTAGACTCATGCTCTGATTTTCTAAATGAAAGAGTTCTGTTTTCAGAAACTTTAGCTGAATATGCTTAAGACAATGATCACAAAAGACTAGGCAATGAAGCTCTGAAGATTGAAGTATTTTACTATGTCATAAGCAGCAAACTTGGTGCAAATAACATCTTGATGCATTTGAATGATACCTGTTTAGGAAAGGCAGACAGGTGTTTAAATGAGGCTATGATGCTAACACTGTATTAATCTCTTTAAAAGTAAAAAGCGAAAATAAATGCAAATAAAAAAAATTTTCAAGACTTCATGTTTGCAATCCAGGAGTTATGTGACTCACAAGTACAACCTCTAGGCCTTGCATTAATTAGTTTTTGTAAACTGCTGCTGCTTGGGGGTCACTCTGCAAGTGGTCTAAGACCTTCCTTTTGTGCCTTTGGAAAAGGTTTCTTATCACGTGTCTCCCTGTACTATATGAATTTGCACCAGTAGCTACTAACTGGCAAGAGAATGATGGAGATAAAAAGCTGGTGGTTTTGTAGCTTTCACTTTGAAGCAGTACCAGCTTGTGGTTTTTTGCATCCTGCTGTACCACCATAATGCCTTCTATGTTCTTTAAGGGCCTGGGTGTTGCCCTATTGAATTTTCCGGTCTCATGACGTGATCAGCGACTTTAAGTTACACAAGTCACATGTGTTACTGTAAAACTGCATGTCCCCCACCTCCGCCCACACTGGGTTTCACAGAAAGTGTACTTCCCAGTTTATAATAACAGCGAGACACAGAGAAGTGATGAAGCACACAGTGTTTCCAGACTTGGTGTTTGCTTGCATGGCAGGGAGGATTTTTAGTTCTTTTGGTACTTCTGTCAATACAGTCTGTATAAACCTGTTAAATATTTCTTTGGTGATTTACGTCTTCAAACTGTGACTCCCTTGGCTCCCTTTTTCACTATAAAGTTACGGTTGGAGTATCTGAAGTGGTGGCACCAGAATGCAGAGGAGCACTGACCAAAAAAAATACTTAAGTGGGGCTTACTTTGTGGTGGTTTATAGGCACAGTGCATTGCATTTCTTTTAAATTCCTCATTTGGCTTGAGAATGGGACACGTGGTGTTGGTAGCTATTCAATTTCATTAAGCATTCTGCAAAACTTTCTGCTGCTCTGTACTTAAACTTCCTTGAATACAAAGCCTGTGTTTGTTCTTTTGTGTTTGGAATTATCTACAGAACGCGCCAAGGTAACTTGCCCTGTTCCTTACTTCAGACAGACAAACGCAGGATATAACTTGCTTTGTGTGGAAGTCCTTTCTGTTTGATTATGTTGAAGTTACTGTTTGTTTTTAAAACTGTTTATATTTAAAATAAAAAACTTTGTCTTTCCTATCCAGTGCTTGCAATCAGAAAATTATAACATTTGGAATGTTTCCAAACATGTGATGGCTGAAATATTAAAATAAGTCAAGAAACATAACTACAGGGTGAAAATTTTCAGTCTCACTTTGGGCCAAGTCTTTGATAAATGGTGTTCTCCAGCCTGCAGACCAACTGTTTACACACAGAACTACATTTCAAAATGTGCTGTTTTCCTGCAGCTTGGATCCTTTAAATAATTTTTCAATTAAAATGCCTTTGGGTAAAACTTTCCCTTGCAATAAAACTAAACAAACATGTATCTGTATGGCTACGTTTTTACATGCCAGTGACTGGTAGAGAGAAAATAGATACCAAGCCACATTATGTTCAGTTGGAAAGAATCCCTGTTAATCCTGTGAGAACACCCTGGCTTTTTTCATGTCCGAAGCACTTTTTTTCTGAGGTGGAGAAAATATAGGAAGGCAACAGTAATACCTCAAAGAATTTTTTTCTAATGCATTGACATCAGTTATTTTTATTAAGCAGCTTTTTGGTTAATTTGTTACTATTTGTTCAGTACTCATCTTGCTTATTTTTTCCTCTCTTGATAGATACAGAAATGGTTTGTTTACTTTATGTGCTCATGCTATTTCCACAAATAATTGAGGAAGGGGAATATGTCATGTGGAATCCTCCAGCTTTGCATGACAGA